GCCGGGTCGAGCCGCGTCAGCCAAAGACGGAAGAAAAAGGGGGAGGAGCAACTGACGGCTGTGAGGCGCCGGGTGCCGTATGTCACCAGGCTTGATAAAGAGGTAACCCCTCGAAACGCGTAGCCATCATCTTACCGAGAGCCCTAAACCCATGTATAGCCCTCGATCACATCACATCGCATCACTTTTACGCACGGGAACTCTTACACCCCTGAGACAGGAGCCAGACAGTAACTGGTGACATACGGCGCCTCACAGCCGTCAGTTGCTCCTCCCCCTTTTTCTTCCGTCTTTGGCCGACGCGGCTCGACCCGGCCAGTCGAGTACGTGGGTGGCCATGCGGTTCCACATTCTGTCCGGACCTGCCACTTACACCACTGGAGACATCCCTTTGAGCCAGGATCCATCCCAGAAACCAGGGGAACTCCAAACTGTGAGTCTTTCGTTACATTGCTATAGATATCAGCACCTACAGGGTAGTAGCACTCCTGATATTCCTTTGTCACCACTTTGATTTCTGTTTCAAGAGCCTGCACCCCGATGTTTTTAATCCACATCTCCTTCACCTAATGAACATTAACTACTTGCATCCCCATTTATCCCTCCAATTCCTGTTACATTTCACAGCAGTGTGACCTTAGAACAGGGGTGAGCCTATGCACCTGGTGTACATCTACCGCCAGATTTAGTTTATAAACACACCTCTTGGTAGTTGCGCTCCTCAGCGTCTTGTTTTGTTTTTGTGGTTATAATATACAGGCTCCTCTCCCTGTAGTGAGGAGCTTTAGACACCATCCTATAGCAGCCACTAGATTGGAGTGTGTCCATCCCACAGAAGTGTGCCATATCCATTTTGTTTTTTATGACTGGGGTAGTGAATTCAAATTCAAGGTGGTCCGATGAATAAAATGTTAATTGAGCCGGGGTCCGAAACACAGTGAGGCCGTATCTGTACCAGGGTGCACCATTTAGGCTGCATTCACACCAGTAGCTGCACTTCAATGCAGACTGGACGTTCCTCAGTCTGCTCCCGCTCTCCATCCTGACACTATGTGCCGTGGTCCCGGGCTTCCCAGAGGAGCGGGGGACCAGACCCAAAAACCATAACGGAGGGTCACAATAGCAGGCTAGTACTATAATAGCTAAAGGTGAAATTCATAAATGGGGGTTGTTTTATTTATCAAAGGATTTGTAGCTTTGTCCATCCAGTTCTGATAATTACACAGCTCCACAACACAGCACAGCCCCATCTGGCAAGGTAGGAGACCGGATTTCTCTTTGCTGCAGTTCAGGAACACTTACATGTCTTGTCCCTTCCTACCGCCAGCCTGTGACTAGACAGTGAAAGGAGCAGCAGCAGCAGACTGAAGAGCTCATTTCTCTGTCACTTTGCTCTCTTCTCCTATTAGCATGCTCCTTGTTCTTCAGCACAACTAATTGGCTGCTTGTGCTGCTTCTCCCACTCCCAGTCTGAGGTCTGCTGTATGCAGGACTGCAAGAGGCTGATGCAACAACATATTCAGGGGTTTACACTACTTACGTTTTAAAAAACCAAAAACACTTAGAGGGGAATTTTTCAAAAGTGAAGCAGATAAAATCTGGAGCAGTTGCCCATGGTAACCAATCAGCTTCTCTCTTCAGTTTGCTCAGGTAGGATTTTGGAAATGAGACAGAGAAGCTGATTGGTTACAGAGCAAATCTGCTCCAGATTTTGTCTGCTTCAGTTTTGATAAATCCCCCCCCCCTCCTGCCTCCGCCACACCATGTGGCCGGGGGGCATGGCTGTGGTGCAATTGCCTTCAATGCACCATCAAACCCCCCCCCCCCCCCCCCCAATGTTTTATTAATAAATACAGAGCTACATTGATTTGTACCTTTTTATATCTGTTTGGAGTTCAGCTTTAATCCCTTAGAATTACAAAGGGTGTATGTCTATAAGCACATCTGTCATGCGGGAAATTTAGGGGGTGTGTTTTTAAGACAAATCATATTTCCTTATCGGCATATTTGTTCTGTGTTGGTGACACAAAATGTTTTTTTTGCAATGTTAGATGTACAGATGAATGCTCTTGGATACAGAAAGTCGCCTTCAGAATGAATGATTAGGATACTTGTATGTACCAGTTGCTTTATGATGGAAAGACCTGAACTTGCCCCCCTGGGAAGGAAACAATCACCTTTGTTTATCTAATCACTAAAGCGGACCTTTGCCCCTTGTACTAAAAATCACAGCAGCATACAGCTCATTATCTTGCATTCATTAGTTAAACTTGTTTTTCATGTACTTACAAATAGAGTTCATCTACTTCCTGGTCCAGTTTTGGCACAAATAAAGATCATCTTCTTCCTGGTCCGGTTCTGGCACAAATAGAGGTCATCTTCTTCCTGGTCCAGGTTTGGCACAAATAGAGGTCATCTTCTTCGTGGTCCAGTTCTGGCACAATAGAGGTCATCTTCCTGGTCCAGTTTTGGCACAAATAGAGTTCATCTACTTCCTGGTCCAGTTCTGGGATAGATAGAGTTCATCTTCTTCCTGGTCCAGTTCTGGCACAATATAGGTCATCTTCTTCCTGGTCCAGTTTTGGCACAAATAGAGTTCATCTACTTCCTGGTCCAGTTCTAGCACAAATAGCGTTCTTCTTCTGCCTGGTCCAGTTCTTGCACAAATAGAGTTCATCTACTTCCTGGTCCAGTTCTGGCACAAATAGAGTTCATCTACTTCCTGGTCCAGTTCTGGCACAAATAGAGTTCATCTACTTCTTGGTCCAGTTCTGGCACAAATTATGTAATTGTGCCCAAGCGTTGCATCCTGGGAAGGTTACATCAGCAGACCATTGCTGGTAAATCTCATCTGTAATCTCACAGGATCTCAGGGAAAGGCATTTTCCTCCCCTGAGATGATGTGCATGGTCACATGTCCTAGTCACATGTGCCAGAGATCCAGGAAGTAAAGGGAGAGCTAGTAACCTGCCCTTAGTTAACTTGCCACTGTCAGAAGACTGGGGAAGAAAAGAGAAGGTATGCAAAGAATACAAAGCCGGCAATTATCTAGAAGTATGTGTTTGTTGATTGATTGTCATCACTAAACAATTCTAAAGGTGTGTTTGTTATTTTAAAGATGTGGGTAAAGGTCAACTTTAACTGAGCTAAACAAGTGGTAGTTGATGTCCAGCTGCATAGCAAACACTGACCCCTAGTTGCTAGTATAAAAAGTGCAGAAACAAAACCCCAAATAAGGTAGTAAATACTCGGTGAGTTAAATTTTCTTTGGTATGGCCTGTATGTAATAAACTGTAAAAGACAAAGAACACTTGTTCACCCTGCGTATGAACTAGGAATGCACCAAAACATGGTATGGTGGGCAAAATGCCAATACTACCAAAACAGCTAAAAATGCAGTGCATCCCTATATTCTCTCCTCACCACTGGGCGCTGGTCTGTCCCGACCACCCCCACCCCCCTATCCCTGCTGCTCTCCCCCGCCTGTGTCAGCAGAGGCCGTGGGGGATCGGAGGGGGACACAGAGCTGATCCAGCTGCAAGCACCCCGCAGTGTGACAGGCCTCCTGTGACAGGCGGAGCAGTCAGGATGGAGAGTGGAGCACAAACACACAGCGATCAGTACTCATTGCTAAGTGTTTGTAAAGAACTGAGGACATAGTAAGCTTACTTTGTCCCCAGCTATGAATGAACAGGAAGTGCTCTACATCACTTCCTGTTCATTCATGATTTTGGACATAGTAACTGATACTTCCTCCTCAATTTATGAATGCACAGGAACAGCATAGAGGAATCCTGTTCATTCAGGACAGGGGCTGCAGAAATAGAAATTGAGGACTCTGTGTCCTCTATTTCTTCTGTTTTTAAAAGGGAAATATCAGGGGTCTGTTTGGATCCCTAGTATTTCCCTAGAGCCCCCCAAAAAACTAATAAAATAATTTAAAAATGTTAATAGGGTTGTATATATAAAAAAAAAAAAAAAAAGCAATTTTCAGTTTTGGTTTCGGCCTGACAAATGTATTTCATTTCGGTGCATCCCTAGTATGAACTATGATCTAAACTACCCTGTGTCCACTCCCCATCTATCGTTATGTTTACATCCTGCGGCTGTAATCCTCCTCACCACTGGCTGTGCCTGTGCGCTGGGTCCTCCTTCTATGGGGGCATCTCTAGACTTGAATAGGGGGTGGGGGTAGTTATATCGTGGGATCTAGTCACGATAGACAAGTGCGCTTTGTCTGACTGTTGTATTCTGTTTTTCATAGGTTATTGCATATGATTGCTGTTTCTACAATGCAAAAGGAGGGTCCAAGGGTCCGTTCACACCACAACACACATGTGCAGCACACGTGTTGAGTCATGGTGTGTTAGGCAGCTGTTTCAAAATAAATGGGCATCAACGCATGGAAAAATAGTTGCTGCTTACATGGTATCGCAGTGCATTGCAGGGAACACCAACCATGAGCATTATGAAGGTGCTGTGGGTGCCATTCCCAATAAATTGCACCGCAGTGCACCAAAACACATGGGGTGTGTTTGGGAATATATCTCCTACATTACAAAAGGGGTTCCCAAATGACTAAGGGAGTGGGATGGATTAATGTACGAAACCTGTGTGTAAAACCAGCTGAAGCCCAGAGCAGTTGGATTGTGTTTTTCTTATGCATCCCAGGGCACAATGTTCTGCCTTGACTGGGGTGTGCCTTTAACCCTTTCGCTGCCAAGCCCTCCGGAACATTTTTCAAATCGGCTGGCCAAGCCATTTTTGAATTTTCTGCAATTTTTTCAAGCACTTTTGTAGGTCCGTATGCCATACGTCCTTGGCAGCGAAAGGGTTAAGGCAAAATTGAATTTTGGGGATTTTTGTATAGATATTTTGGAGGCAAAATAAAGGTTTCTGAGTTTAGAAAAAAAAAAGAGTGTGCTGAAAGTTTATGGAAAGGAAGACATTTTCTATACAAACGTATACTAAACTTACTTCAATCTCTTGTCTCTCTGCAGGATATGCCACTGATTGGGCAAAATGTGAGGAAATTCAGCTACAGCTGGGACATCATCGTATTACTACTTATGGATGGTTTCTTATTCCACCTACAAAGTGTCACAGCATACGCCCTTATGGGGAAGATCTCTCCAGTAACGTTCAGGTATTATTTTATTTATTACAGGTATTTATATAGCGCCAACAATTTACGCAGCGCTTTACATACAGAACATTCACATCAGTCCCCGCCCTCAAGGAGCTTACAATCTAAGGTCTCTATCTCGCATGCATACATAGAGGGCCAACTTGGAGAGGAGCCAATTAACCTTCCAGCATGTCTTTGGAGTGTGGGAGGAATGCAAAATACCCAGAGCAAACCCACACAGACACAGGGAGAACATGCAAACTTCTTGCAGAGAGCGTCCTGACCGGGATTCGAACCGGGATCCCCCAGTGCTGCAAGGCAGACATGCTATCTGATAAGCCACTGTGCTTCCCAATTCCCAATGGATATGTGCCCATTGTTTCTTCTACAATGCAACACTTTCACAGAAGGAGGAGATGGGGGAGACTGTGAAAGACATTGCAGTATGCTAAGGGGAGCAGAAAGTAGGTCAAGGACTAGACAGTATGCAGTTTGTGCATTCTGAACTAGCGCTTTCTTTAGTGACAAAGGTGTACAAAGGAGGCAGTCTGTCCAATCCAGGAGCCAGCAGGATTTTTTTGAGGAGCCAGCTCCATTGTCAACAACTAGAGAAAACCTCATTAAGAAAATACAAATTATTAGGCTTTTTTTTTTCCTTTCATATCTCTATAGGTTGAACTCGATGGACATGTGTTTTTTTTCAACCTGACTAATTATGTAAATTTAGGGGCCAGCTGTCTTTTTTTTGTTCCATAAACTTTAATAATAAAAAAAAAACACAGCAAAAGAGCATAGCAGTCAAGGTAGAGCTGGCCAGAACATCAGAGCCGTAACACTCAGTACAATATACTATACAAATAAATACTTTGCAGAATTACAAGAACCCCGCAGTAGGTATATGCAGGGGTGCCCATGAAGGCATAAAACCCCAAAAGGGGGATAACAGAGCATATACCTTGGGCTGTCCTCAGGCTACTACACAATATGGTGCACGTGGACAAAAGAGAGAAAGAGAAAAAGCTAACGGTGAAGAGCAGAGGAGGAGGAGGAAAGTGAAAAGGCCAGAAAAGAGGAAAAAAGAGAAAGGGAAAGGCTCATGCAAAGAGTAGCATCCTAGGAAAGCGCCAGCTGTAATTTTTGGGAAGCAATGGCTACCGTGCTTGTCCAGCCGTAATGTGTGTAGAACACTCAGTAAATCAAATGTCCTTATTCTGCCATAACTTTGTTCTAGTAAAAGTTTAAAGCTAAACTTCAGGCAGATATAATGACACAATTAATGTAGCTTTGTATTAGTGAATACATTGTTAAATGTATGCTTTATAAGTATATCAGCATCTCACAATCCCCCTACAGCAGTTCTCAGACCAGGGAAAAACAGCACAAGTAAGCCAGTCAGTTGTGCTGTAGTGCTCGTGTGCTAACAAGGATCAGGCGGAAAGGAGGAAAGGACAGAGAGTTGAGGTCATTGATGTTCTGCTTCACCATTCATTGTCTAGTCACAAGTAGTGATGAGCCTATGCTTTGTGTAAACCCAGTTTGCTCAGTTCACCCAATCCCACTCAGAACTGTGACTCCACGCTCTCCTCCGAAGTGCATTCCCCATCCCCCAGTTACATATAACAAAGGGGCAGGGAATGGCCCCGCCGAAGCTGCTACCACAAATTGGACCAGAAGGGAAGCGTGGCGGTCACAGTTTTGAGCAAGGTCATCAATAGTCACAAGCTGGGCAAGGGACACGATCGGTAAGGGTTGCTTAAAGTATATCTAAAGACCAGACTTTTTTTTTGTTTCTTTTCATTTTGGATATAGCAGGGGAGGGTTAAAACTAGGGATACTGATACCGATTTTTTTTGGTATCAAGTACGGGCACTGATATATTTTTTCTCAATTCTCACCAATACTGAGTACGGGTGCCATGTGTCCCGATTATCAGGAAGTCGGGTGGCAAAACATGACCCGTCGCTCGGGTTCCTGATTGCCCCTGAGGCCGGTGTTGTAGAGAAAGAAGAGCTGCTTCAGAGGCTGACTGGCTTCCTGACCAATCAGGCTGTCGGGCGGCGAGTCATGATGTGCCGGCCGACTTCCTGATTGGTTAGGATACAAGGCTGCCTACCAACAAGCCAATTCCTAGCCAATCAGGAAGCCGGGCGGCACATCATGACCCGCTTCCTGATTGGCTAAGAAGTCAGCTTCACTTGTTCCTAGGCAGCTTGGCTTCCTGACCAATCAAGAAGCCTGGAGGCAGGTCATTACGTGCCGCCCGGCTTCCTGAGTGGTTAGGAAGCCAGGCTGCTTAGCCAGGCTGCTTAGATTGGAAAGGAAGCCGGCTCCATGCTCCCTTGGCACTGCCAGTCAGAGGGAGATCTCCCTCTGACCAGAAGTTCTAGTATCAGAGGTGAGTATCAGAGCATTTGGGCGAGTACGAGAACTTGCCCAAATACTTAGTAACGGCACCGTTGTCTTAAAACCACTATCCGCCTTTTATTTTGCCACCTGTGTCTCGTTAGGGAAATTACCCTTCACTTCCTGTCCTGTAGACACAACAGGAATTGAGAGTATGTTTTTCCAACGGGAGGAAAATCCCATCTTAGACAGTTGTCACAGGAACAAGTGTCCCCGTTGGAAGATCTCCCCATGAATGAAATTCCTGTGGGTGGCAACACAAAATGTTGCCTTTCCCTTTGCTTTTATTCTCGGTGATGCTGGTGATCAGTACTATCAGAGAGTAAATCTGCCTAATGGGACACAGACAGCAATACAAACCTGACCGGGCTTCTTACCCCTCACTGCTCTACCTAAATTGTAAAAAAAAAAAAAAGTTTTTCCTTTAGTTATGCTTTAACTGCAGCCAAGAAAATTTGGGTGTCCTGCCCTGCCAGACAAGGCTGTGTAAATCCCATCACTGGATGGACAGCAATATACATGAAACAGCTCCCATATGTGTATTTGATCTGTTTATTTCGCTGTGTGTCTGGAGTGAAGAATTGTGTGATTTGTTTGACTCATCTCTTACTTTCTTGTAATTTCAGTGTCGCCAGCACTGTGAAACACGCACTTTCTATCTGGCTCAGTATTATTGTGTTCGGTAATAGGATTACCAGCCTTTCAGCCATTGGGACTGTCCTGGTGATAATCGGCGTCATGCTCTACAACAAGGCTAGACAGCACCAACGAGAAACCATCCGCCTGATGACTGTGCTAGCTAACTCGGAGGATGCCGAGCCACTCATGGGACAAGAGCAGAAATCTCATGGAAAGTAGAAAAGGATAAAACATAGTTACTGCCCCTGAAATGAAGGAGGCTGACTGCTCTCTACTCTCCTTGTGTTACTGGGCTACTTGACATGACCACGTCCATCAGCCGTCCACGAGTGAAGTATTTTTGTTTTAAGACTTGAAAATAGGGGACCATAACATCTCGAATTGAAGCAGGAATGGTCAGGTTAAAGTGCACTTTTGGAGCCAGACACATGTAATTGGCCATTTTTTTCACTGAGCTCTCCACACCTGACAGTTACTGGGCTCATTTGCTGCTTGCCTTTTCACTGATACAGTTTAAAACATTCACGGGGAGAGAAAAGGAGAACCGGTGCCAAGAGATTACAGCCTGCGAAGAGCAGGAATGAGGTATTCTGGGATCAGGTTACATGCAGTCTGTTCATTTTCAGTTCATCTCCCCTTGACTGCAGTAGAAAAAAAAATGCTTGCAAGGAGACGGGTAGTGAAGGAGAGCATTCCCAATGCTTAGGATTTTAAGTCGATTTTGTCAGGGTGAAATGAAGCCCCAACTCTTATATCAATCCCTACCTATTTCATGCTATACCTACATAGCACATTACCACTTGTACTTTTAAGGGGCAGTGCGCAGGCCATTTCCTAGCCAGAGCTTTGAGCCCAAGGGCTAAGCATGAAGGGTAACATTTGTGTATAGGTGTGCTTGCTTTTAACCCCTACCTCCAATACCACAAGTGGTCTGAGAGCCTAATTGCCACGCTTGAGCACTGTCCCATGGGACGGTGCAGGGGTGAGTTCTTTATCTTGGTGCAAGAATCAACCAGATCGACTAGGCGCTTACCCAGGGCTTTTTCATTTTGATCTGCTGTGCGAATGGGGTAGAAGACAAAAGGTGAATATATTTTGCGGGGGGAGGGAGTAGGGCAGTTGAGTGAATCTATTGCCCCGCATAGACAAAGCTCACATTCACTATAAGCAAATATAGAATATTAATTCCTTAAACAGAAACTGGAAGGTCTAAAGACTGTTAGACACCAACTAACCAACTAAACCATCAGAGATGTTTGAGATTTCTTAGGATCCTAATTCTTTTGAACAAGCCTTTTGAACAAGCCTTCTTTTGAACAAAACTTTAAAGAAGAACTGCTGACAGAGTAGAGCTTAGCCCTTGCAATGGGGCTACCACCGCTAAGTTTTGGTCTAGGGTCTAAAATAACAAAGATATACTCGCCCAAACTTCGATCCCATCTGGTTGCTAGAACAGTCCCTGCAGCCTCTCTCCCCCACTTCTCTGGCGGTCTAAGGATCACTGAATCATCACATTTAATACACTGTATTAGACGTGAGCACGGTGGGGGACATTCCATCATCGGAGAGGCTGCAGGGGATTGGTCTGGCAGCCAGACGGGACTGAAGTTCGGGGGAGTACATCTTTGATATTTTAGACCCTCGATAAAACAAGCACTTAACCCTTGCAGTGTGGGGGTAGCCCCACTGCAAGAGTTAGGTTTTATTCTGCCCAGAGTTCTTCTTTAGCAGTTTTTTTTTACATAAGGCTGTCTTTACTTGCCTCACAGAGCTGCTTTTTGGACTCCCTGAAGATTGTTTGTACCATAGGTGGTGCCCCCGGCCTGGAATTTATAGATATTATCTGAGCTTGTTTGTCAGATTATAGATTTAAAAAAAAATAGGTAAAGGTAAGTTGGTGTTTAAGTGTAGACCATACAGACAGATGTATGAAGACCTAGTAGCCTAGGACCGGCCACTATTATTTATTCAGTAAGGCTGTCTTTAAAGTTTGGTAACCTACTGCAGCCTAGCACAATGCATATTTTCCTGCTGTGACTTCAGGAAAGCTCAATTTAATCTTTAGTTTAAATCGGCTAAATAAATTCTAGATTCTTCTGCAGATGAGGTGTTCATTGTATTATAGTTCATCTATCTTCTCTCTGAAGCAGCCACAGCCTGAGTAGAAAAAACTGTGTCCTGCCAGCAGCTGCAGAGTAGGACCCTTGCTCTCTGTGGGATAGCAGTGGTCTCATTGCAGAGGTCTGAAACCCCCCGCTTCCCCCCCATCCCAAACTAAGTCAGACTAGTTGCTTTGCAAAAAGCAGAGCTCATGCTCCCTGCTGATTGGAGAGTTCATGCTCTGACTCCGCAGGGTACGTGCCGGACCTCTTCAAAGAGATCACTGCTTGCCTGTTTAGAACAAAGCTCCAAGTTTGCAGCATGTTGGCAGGGAACAGGCTTTTCTACTCAGGCTGTGGCTGATTGTTTAAGGAAATAGACCTCAAGACTTGGCACAGCCTTGGTTTTATTGCACCAGGAATGTATTTAGCTCATTTAAACTTAGTTTAATTTGGCTTTAAGCTAAAATCTGTCTGGTTATTGGACTGCTGTACTGTACACATTGTTACTGTTTTTTTGCACAGTTTATTAAGGCCACCTTACAGCAGCAAATGCGAGTGCGGAAGCCATTGACGTAAGTAGGGACCCGTCCACATGCCAGCTAATGCAAGCTGGATTGCTAAGTGACCAATATATAGATAGGTTTGTATGTTTGCCATAACCACTGTATTTCACTGACCGGGCTGTAGTCCACCAAGTACTGTACTCAGAGGGACCCCAGCTAACCATAGGATTTCATTAATTTGTGGAATTCTCTTTTATAGGGCATATTATATCTAAAGTTGTTAAGAAGCATTTGTAATAGATTATGTCAGGAAAGTAAGTTTGGAATAAATAACTCTTGAGCAATGTGATAGAAGCACTTTCCATTTCTTGTGAAAATAATGTGTCAGTTGAGTCATTTGGGCAGATTCGTTATGGCTCTTCCAATCCAGCAGAAAAAGTGCTAGGTGATTCAATAATTTGCCCAACTCCTGTGTTTCGCAATGAAATCCTTTATATAAGGGGAAGAGGTTCTCATGGGCCTGTGATGTACTTAAAGGAGAACTATGAGGTGAGGGATTTCCACTCAACCTCATATTTAGAGCCTTCCTGTGACAAAGAAGCTGTCACAGGTCGCCTCTATCAATTGGAAAGTGAGCAGAAACATGCAGCGATCCGCTCACTTCCCAATCGTCTCCCTGCAGTGAGCAGTGACTGTCAGTCACCGTTCCTCGCAGAGATTCCCCCTTTCCAATCCTCCAGCGCTGAGTGGAGGAACGGACAGGGGAGAGGGGCGGGCACAGCTGGCTCTGCCTCTAGATAGGCAGAGCCAGCTATCACTCACGCAGCTGGATCTCGACAGTATTGTCGGGATCCGTCCTGGCTGCGGCGCTCTCAGTATATCGCGGGCTACTGAGCTTTGGGTCACGGGAGGAGGATAGTACATGTCCTCCCGTGACCCTAAAGAGAGCTATGGGGAAAAACACTTACCCCATAGTTGTCTTTAAATGCCCAGTGCCTGATTCTGTCTTCATACCCTTTTCTGAGTAGAAGTAAAGCCTTGCCACATGTATGAAAATTAGTCCAACTGCAGGAGACTCAAACCTTGCGCTGATTCCAGGGCTGTGAAGCTAAATGCATTCGCATTGCAGAAGCACGTTCTTCTCATTTATATACACGCAGATGGAAATGTGCAGCCTCCCTCCAGGACAGACATGAGCTTCTCCAAGACAACACAAAGTGCGCACAGAACATAGGACCACTCTGAATTTTTTGTTAGATCTACTTTTTTTTTTTGCACTTTTCAGATACCAAAATGCTTTCAATGGCATTTTTAATGGACCAAAAGAGTGCAAATAAGGAAACTTTATTGTTGGGGTATACATACACTTGACGTTAATCCCCTTTTTCAGTAACCACTAAGTGTAATAGATAGTTGAAGTCCCTGGCTCTACAGGTCTATCCGTATGACGTCACTGAATAATTGCCTGGGTTCAATCCCATACCATAGTGGTGGAGAAACCCCATCAGTCCTTCACGTAAAAATGTGCACTTAGAAGGCAGAAATCGTGTACATGGTATATCTATGGAAGCTATGACACCTATAGTCATACTATCGGAGCCTCCAAATCAAAGTAAATATAACAATTGCCTTAAAATCTATCATGCCATTTAGTTGCCTTTATTTAAAATACACTACCTGGATCTGTTCACTGGGAATGTATTCTTCCCGGGCTGCCATTCTTCACTGTTTTATAACCTTCATGGTTCTGGTAGCTGCAAAGTTACGAAACAAGATGACTCCTTTTGGCAGGTCTTGCTTGGGTGGCTCAACACAGACTACTTCAAAATGAACCTTTAATGACGGTATCTTGTTGATGGCAGTGTCATTTTCTCCTGTGGATTGTACAGAAATCTATCTATTTTTATGAACTGTGGTTAAAGCCTTTTGTAGAACACCTATTCCTAATCTGTGGTAGTGTTTACTGTGATGCTGCATTGAATTGTGAGAGAGCTATCGATTTTGCCTTGCAAGAGAGGGAAAGTAATTACTTGAATCCTAATAATGAATTGTTGTCCTTTGGTTATTGCTCCAGAAAGCCCATGAACTATAGGAAAGCTCCAACTAAAATAATCAGTTATTACAAAATGTGCATTATATACTGTTATGTGCACTAATTACTTCTCGGCAAGTTTCCTGCATGGGCTGGATTTGAGAGGGGAGAGTTGAGGGAGAAAATGGCAGAATTGTGTGCTTTCTCTCTTTTGCTTTTGACTTGCGTTGCCTGATTTCTGCTACATCTATTGACAATTCTCAGCTATGAATAACAGCAGACCACAATAGACAGAGCCAAATGATTAAAGTGGCACTAAATCCTAAAAATACATTCAAGTACCTTAACCAATGACAAAAATGTATCTTATTTGTAAATCACTCGGCTGTAGATCCTCCAATCATCTCTGAATTGGTGCTGACACTGTCCTTCCTTCTGGAGGGCGGCTACTTTTGTTCTCCATGGTCCCTGTGTGTGTTGTAAAGTAGTCAATGCTCCAAGCTCACTCCTGTGATGGACTACAATCTCAATACAAATTAGTAAACTAAACATGAGATTGTAGTCCATCACAGGAGCGAGCTTGGAGCGGTGACTACTATACAACACACACAGGAACCACGGGGAACAAAAGTATTCCCTCTCCAGAAGGAAGGACAGTGTCAGCACCAATTCAGAGATGATTGGAGGTTCTACAGCCGAGTGATACACAAATAAGACACATTTTTGTTCATAGGTACTTAAATGTATTTTTAAGATTTATCTGCTGAGTTTAGTGTCACTTTAACTAAAGAGA